GCCCGGGTCGGGCGGGACACTCAGGTACTTAGCACCCTCTCCACTAGTAGACATCACATACATGGCAGTGAGAATTGCATCAAAGTCTAGAGCATAAATATCAATCCCCTTCTTCAGGAGATCAACCTAGCGGGGCAGCTCAGTGGCCTGAGGGAACTGAACACACCAAGCATCGTTCAGACAAGCGAAGCAACGCTGTGTGGCGTGCGGTCCCCCACACGGCTGGCCAGTGCGGTCACCAGTGCGAATGACGTACGTGCAGCTAAGGCCACCCCCCCCCCGTGCTGAGAGTACCACTCACGGACCTCCTGGGGCGACGGAGTGTGCTGCTAGCCCTGGCCACCGCTAGTGCCTCCACGACCACCACCGCCGCTACCACCTCCTCGACCACCCCAACCCCGGCCGCTACCTCGTCCACCGCCACCCCCACCACCTCCTCCGCCCCGGCCACCTCCCCCGCCGCTGCCGCCACCCCCCCCACTGCTGCCACCTCCCCCACCCGCGCCACCCCCCCTGCCACCACCACCTCCCCCACCACCGCCACCCTCGCTGTCACCACCACCGCCCTTGCCCCCCTTGCCCTTGCCGCTGTGGCGCCCACTCGAAGCAGACGCAGTCCCGACCTTCTCAGCACCAAGGAGGTCGACAGCAGCAGCAGAGGCGACAGAGGGAAGAAGGGGGGAGGGAGAACACCCCTCAAAGAACGGGGTACGGGGGTCACCGCGAGAGGCACCTACAGCGACTATGCTAGCCTTAGCTGCAAGCAGTTCCTTCTCGAGGAGGGCAATGGTGAGCACGGTGGGGCAGCGAGCTAGGAAGTGGTCCCTGACTGAGCGCAGAGTGTCAGGGAGGCGCGTGACTAGGTGGTAGAGAGTGAGCCAGAGCGGGGGTGGGTTCTTGGCAAGGAAGTCATCAGGCATGGCGGCGCGGAAGCGAGCCTCACTAGTGCGGAGGTGGGTAATGAGATCAGCGACAGTGTGGAAGGAAGCTAGGTCGGGGAACAGGTAGGGAAGAGAGAGACGGCCTAGAGCGGCAGAGGCCGGCGAGGAGTAGCGGGCAACGACAGCAGTGTACAGTGCCTGTGCAGTCTTGTGCTGCCCAAAGTGCTCGCGCTCATCTATCGGCAGAGAGTTGCGAATAGCGAAGCGAGTATGGGCGTCACAAGTCTGCCACTGTGAGCGGGCAGTGCTGTCAGCAGTAGCAGCAGGAGCAGTAGCGTGGCCTAAGGCATGATCGTACAGCGAGATGTCTTCCTTGGCAGTGAGCTGTAGGAAGAGGTGTAGGTCATCAAGCCAGGTGTCGAACTTCACTGGGCGGCCCTCAGTATCGAAGGCTAGGACAGGAGGGCTAGCCATGGTAGCAGCAGTAGGAAAAGCAGTAGGAGCAGTAGGGTAGGTAGGGCGGCGCAGCTCGGTACAGGTAGGGCGGCGCGGCTCGGTATAGGTAGGGCGGCGCGGCTCGGGTCGGGCGGCGCGGCTCGTTTCGGGCGGCTCGGGTCGGGCGGCGCGGCTCGGTTCTGGCGGCTCGGTTCGGGCGGCGCGGCTCGGTTCGGGCGGCTCGGTTCGGGCGGCTCGGGTCGGTTAGGGCTGGTGGCTCGGGTCGGGCGGCTCGGTTCCGTTAGGGCTGGGCGGCTCGGGTCGGCTCGGTTCGGGTTGCTCGGTCTGGGTGGGGCCGTTCGGGGCCGCTAAGGGCGAGCGCGGGGAGCGGGTGGGGCCGTGAGGGACGAGCGCGGGGCCGACGTGGGTGCTAAGGGCGAGCGCGGGGCCGACGTGGGTGCTAAGGGCGAGCGCGGGGCCTATCGGGGCCGTGAGGGACGAGCGCGGGGCCGATCGGGGCCGTAAGGGACGAGCGCGGGGCCGACGTGGGCCTCTAAGGGCAAGCGCGGGGCCTATCGGGGCCGTGAGGGATGAGCGCGGGGCCGATCGGGGCCGGTAAGGACGAGCGCGGGGCCGACGCGGGCCTCTAGGGGTAAGCGCGGGGCCGATTCGGGGCCTCTAAAAGCGAGCGCGGGGCCGACCGAGGCCTCTAGGTGCGAGAGCGCGGGGCCGACGGGGCCTCTAGGGGCGTAAAAGCCGAGGCGCCCTAGGGCGCAGGTAGGTAGGTAGGTAGTGGTGGGCCCTAAAAAATCGGTCCTAGGAAGGACCTGCTCTATACCATGTTGAACAAGAATGAATTGAACTAAGAGTGAAATGAGTACAAGTATCAAAACCTAGGAATGTGTACCCCCTATAGGCTAACCCACTGTAGCCTAAACAACTACAACAACATATATAATGTTTGACAGACCCCTCACCACTATCTCCTCCGTTTTCCATGGGACCATGTCGGCTGGAGCTCGCGCCATGCCCCAGCGGCGCACATCCACCCAGTTGCGCCATCGTCTGAGAGCCCTTAGGTTGAAGCAAGGGTTGCGGAAAATGTGTAGCAGACGGTTAACTTCCCGGTGCGACAGATCGGCGTCACGGAAAAATAGGTACAACTCTGTCAGTGTATCAAAAATCTCCTTCCTATCGCTGCCTTCTGTAGACTCGGCGTTAGCGCCGTCGGATGGTGTATCCGCGTCGCCAACCACACTAACTTCGGGTATCGACACCGTTGGAGGTACGGAGAGAAAGCTGCCATCGTTGTTTTTAAGCCTGGATGCCGGTGGGGTATTTGGTCTACCCTCTCCTTCGCACGCAACGGCTTCCAAATATGCCGCCCACAAAAGCTGTTCACGCTTCCTCTTCAACTCCTCGCGACAAACAGCCCCATTCACTACATGGGACTGTAACCTGCTGTCGTCCTTAAACACCGTCTTGCACACCAGGCAACTGTTCCCCGCCATCCTACATCCGTGAAACCCTAGGAATTGCTGCTGTGAAAACCCTGCCCAGCACATCTGGTGCACTCTTGTACAACAGAGTTGGGCTGGTTCGAGCACACGCATGTGCAGGAAGCTGTGTGGTGTGCGCACAGAACATAGCCATACTCGTTGCAGTGAAAGGTACAATTATATTATGTGTGTATGTGTTGTATGTGATTCGGCATATACAATTGTCCAACCGCCCCACCAATGATTGTAACTTGTTTATCGGGATTTTAAAAATATCATCAGCTGTTTCCGTAACCACCAACACCGTTGCATATCTTTGATTCTTTGTCATGTCGATTCGCAAAAGTTTTGCCAAACTCAGTCCACCTTCAACTGACGTAACATAACACATTGCAATCGCGTGTTGTTGTTGTACAAGTTTAATAACCATGTACGCCTCGATTGCAATAACCAGGACTCGGCGCGCGAAGAGACACATACACGTATGTTCACCATACGGCGTACATCGTTACCATAATTCGCGTCATTCGGCCTCCTTAAAAAAAAAAAAAACGAACTACAGGTACACAACCGCACATTCGCTTGCATGCATCTGCTTGGTAACCCGGCTTCAACCTCCGACCACATCATCCGAAACCCTAGGATTAGCACACGTGGATCTGCATGGCGCTGAACCATCACATCCTCTCGAGTGGTCGCATCACACCTGGCCATCGCATGAACGCTTGCGCCAATGGTGTAGATCTATGGAGCTCTACATGACGGTCAAACCAGATGTGCATGATCCAAGAGGGTTACGCCTTTCTATCTCCTTCATTTTCCATAGTATCCTCACCGCTTGCGCTCCCCGTAAATGTGTTCCTCCTGCCAACCCCACCTGCTCTCGTCTTCATAAGCCGATGTAGTTTGTATTCTAGTCATTGATAGATAAAGATGGCGAAACCTAAGCAGTTGACATCTAAGCGCAACAGGTTCTATCAACCTGAAACTAGCAGCAGCTCCGACGACCAAGATCTTGCCCCGCCGATGTGCAGAACCAGGTCGTCGAAAAATGCCGAGTCTAACATGAAGAATCCAGGGCCAATCCCACCAACTAAGGACTCCGGAAGGGCCATGAAGTTTGCTACTAATAAGGAGGATGCGGCGCGGGAGCAGGTGCAGGAAGATTTGGTGGCCCTCGTCGCACGGAATTACACGAAGTCTTCGTACAGAAACATGACCCTTATAAATCACCGCGGCGCCAGGTGCGAGGTGGATAAGGACGACCTCATGTCGATCGAGGATGATCAGTGGATTACTGATGGCGTGCTAGACTTTCACAACGTGTAAGTATCTTCACGGCGGTCACCTGGTTGACGCTTTGTTGCGTAGTACGTGATGTATGGGCAACATCTAATACGCTTTGTTATTTCTTGTTCATTAACTATGCAGGCTGCTTAGCATCCGGAAGCCGACTCTCCGTGACGGGAAAACATGGGCTGCCTTGGACTGCAAGGCGTACTTCCAGACGAACTCGTGTGGTGCGCCTTTGATGTTGGGGAACGGGCTTCCGCTACTGCAGCACGACTATCTCGCGATCCCTGTGCTAGAGGGGTACGTATCACAAGTATCCGGTTTGTGAGAGGATTCTTTAGCATGACACCGATGGTTGTCTAACCTTAATCCCAACATACCCTCTCATGTTGAGCGTAGGGAGCACTACTCGCTCGTCATCGCTGTATCTCCATCGGTGCTTACCAAGTCCGCAAAATTCGAAGGCAAAGAGCGAATGAAGCTGGTCTTGCTGGACAGTAGCATAAAGACAAGGAACACCCGCATGATTTTTGCAGGCACCAAGCTGTGAGTACGGGGTTCACTGTCGACGTTGCATGTCGCAAGCATCAACCCAGAACTTGTTTTAACGATTTCGGCCTGTAACGTGCAGAGTGCTGTCCGAACTCGCCAAGGCGAGTAACCCTGACGCGAACATGGAGTTTGTGGACAAGCAGCTGTTGGCTGCGGAGTGCATAATATTACGGGTGAGGGTACCAGTGAATGCGCATACCTGTGTGCACAATGTTTATGAGGGTAGACGGATTGCTAACTGTAGTGTGCGTTTGTCGAAGTGCAGGAGGATAAGCTGCCACAGCAGCCGAACAAGCAGGACTGTGGAATTTTTGTTTGCCAGTACCTGAAGACCCTGGTGATGTCCGACTTCACCACGTTATTGAGCGGGCTCTGGTTTCAGGGTGTGACGCCGCACCAATACCGGCGGGAGATGCGGCGCGACTTGTGCGCACACGCGACCGGAGATCTCATTCAGCAGTTGGAAGCGCTGGGGATCGAAATTCCCCCGCAGGACGCAGGCCGGGTACCAGAGGGGGGGGCAGTGGTGCGGGAGAGGAACGCTGGTATGGAAGATGTGAGGCAAGCACCGGTCAGTCAAGCCGGGGATGACGCACGGGTAACGGCGATGATGAGGGAAATGGCGACTATGAAGAACGATGTGATGTTCCTGGACGCGAGCTTCACCGTCATAGGCAATTTTGTGGGATTGAGGCGCGAGGAGGTGGTGTCCGCTGCAACCCAACTACTGATGCAAGGCAACCCCGTGAGATCCGGCGCGAAAGCAGAGGCAAGTGGCACCAAGAATGCCCCACACACTCCACAGCGTCCATCCGGTCGCAAGAGGCGTGATGACAGCAGTCCAGAGGAGGATGTTGTACGCAATGCCACCCGTATTGCGCTGGCCTCCTCGTTCGCTGCATGTGATCCGACAGCGCGCTTGCTGCAAAACCCGCTGCTGTCGCGAGGGACCATACCTCACTGGATGTTCACCCGCGAGAGACTGCTGCTCGGGGTGACGGTGCCGGCTGGAGCTGATGCGTGGGGAGATACGAGCGGCCACGAGACGGTGAAGGCAGAAGAAGAAGAGGATCTCGTGTCAGACACGGAGGACGAAGAGGATGGTGACGACACGTGTGCAACGAAGTACACAGGAGTCAAGTTGGAGAAAGCATCAGGCAAGTTCGGCGTGAAGATCCTGATCAAGGTAGGAGGAAAGCGTAAGCAACAGCGGCTGGGTGCATACACATCGGAGGAGGAGGCGGCGTTTGCGTACGCCGCAGGTGCGTTCGTCCTGAGGCCACGAGACAAGATACCCAACACGGTCAGTCTGTCAGCCGCAGAGAAGGCGATGCTGCGTGGATGCACCAAGGAAGATCTGCAGCTCCTAGTGGAAGCGCGGAGGTGGTGGAGGTGGCGGAGCTGGAGGGAGGCGCGGGAGGGCGTGAACTGGAAGGTGAAACGAGGGAGGAAGCGAGTGGTTGCCACGCGCACGTCAAAGAGGCAGAGGGTGGTGGATAGCAACAACAAGGCGGCCAACGAACTAGACGACCCTGACAATGGTGAGAGTGGGGGAACGGCCCCTGTGCACAACGGCAGCGGCGGGTGTGCTCGGCACAACGAAGCCGAGGAGGGTGTAGAAGAGTCTGTTGCACATGAGATGTTGGCAGACCATCCTGCATAGTTGTTGTAGATGCATAGACGTACACATGATTGCAATTGTACGGTATGTTTTGCGAGAAATTCAGTTAGAGATGTGCAGGGCGTCAGATTTTCTGCTTGTATTCGTAATAGATGGGTGCGAAGGCTCTTGCTTACACAATGGAGCTCAATTGGTCGGTACATTGTGTGCTAGTGTAACGTGCAATTGGTGAGATGTATAATGAAAGGATGTACGTCAACAACGTGCAGAGTGAATACTTCCGTGAGACATGATGTACTCACAAACGAGTTCCAACGATACGGTTGTGTCGCCAGGATGTGCGCGGTGTGTGGTTTATGTGTGCACACATGTACATGGCGGCGGATGACGTGGTGTGCATGTATTAGCCGTTTCGGATTGCGGTCATCCAAATGGACACGAAGTCGTATTGCCTACCAAACTCACTGCCCATGATGGGCTCCGGTGTGGTAAGAAGTTGAGCGGAAGGTATATGTAGAAGTATAGAACCGCGCGTCATTCTGTGAGTATACCACTGGATACTATTGTTGCTACAATGGATACTTCGCTTGCTTCAGAGGATACTCTGACAGGAGGGCGCGCCCGTCGTGTATCTAACCCGCCGGCATACCTACGAGCGTCGTATCAGCTGACAATGCCGCGCGGTCGGCTGTCGAACGGGAAACGCGGGCCGACACTGCATAAGCGTCTGAGCGTGACCAAGAAGGGAAACGAGGTGGTACAGCATGAGCAAGGTATGCAGAAAGAGCGTGGATGGGTGACTCGTTGTACTAATGCGGGTGTTCGCATTGTCTATACGTATGAACCCCAGTGCCCAACAAGTATAGCTGACATGTGGTACCGTGCTTGTCTGGAGCCTCTGTATCATCGCAGATGACGGCACTGGTGCAGAGAGTGCTTCATCGTCCGAGCGCAATGAAGAGGATGGCGAGGCAGACTCAGACACATCGGCCTCAGCCTCACCCAAAGAATCCGGCGAACCTGCCACTGGAGGGAAGACGACCGACGATGGGTGAGCGGGAACCGCTTCACCCAAAACAGACGGGCGCGAAATTTGGGGCGCGGGGGAGACGGATGTGTATCGAGGCGAAGGCCGAGGACATGTGGATGGGCATGTGGACCGCGCATGCGGGACCCCAGTGGACACCGACGGCGATGACGTGCGCATCTCGAGCAGGGTTCTCGAGCAACTCATCCGGGCTCAGGACAGGAGCGCCAAGGAGAACGCGCGGTTGGAGGCGCTGTTCTTGAATGCAATGGCGCAGCCTTCTGGTGGATCTCGTAAGCGTAAGGCTCAGAAGCAGAGAGACCCGGAGCAGGGGTGCATGAACCCGAAGCGTAAGCGTGGCGAGACATGGAGCGGCGGGTCGGACGATGACGGAGAGGACAACGAGGAAGATACGCATGGTTCTGGTGGTCGTCATATGCGTACTGCAAAGTCTCCTATTCTGCAACGCGCGTTGGTGCATCTGCCGACAGACAAGGCGTGGAAGGTGAGCGGGTCTGTTTCCATCTCGGTTCAGTAACTTCCCGTCCGGAATGGGTTGCACTCTGTACCCGTTGATGGTACACGGTGAATGCTGATGTTGGTGATGGTGTATACTATGGGTGCGCAGCGGGTGTGCGAGCTGGCCAGAGTTCACATGTTTCTCAACAGGCCCACGTCGTCGATGACCTTCTACCCGAGCAGCGACGATAAGACTCACGGAGTGTGCGCGGTGCTGGACCGCCTGCCTCACAGCTTCGCCTGTTTGGCGTTGGCGGCTGACAAGTCGCGACGGGCGGATCTCAACAAGACGCTGTCGGAGTGGAAGACAAGGGCTGCCGCTCAAGTGCGAGACATTGCACTTCCCAAGCTCGGCCTATTCCGGGACGACAGGGATGCATCCAGCCCGTGGGCACCTGAAAAGGAGCGTAGTATCGAGAAGATATGGGAGCGGATTGGGCTTGGCGCTGACCCCCCTGGTGAGTGCATGAGACGCGCGTTGGAGTCGTCGACCGTTTCTAGTCATGAACCAATGCAAGAATTGTGGACATTGATACCCACGCTTCAGATGTGGTGTGCAGAAACTCTAGTGCTGACCAGCTGGGCGCACGACAGGGATGGCATGCCGTTTGCCTCCCGGGCGTTCGCGACATGTGCGAAGGCTGCCTTCAGACGAAGAAGGCAGGGCTAGTGATGACCCTTAAGGTGTACCACCTAGCTTGGTTGTAGCATGTGGTGAGTGTGTGCGCGCGATGTGTGCAATGGTGTGCATCCTACTGAAAATGCATGGACTGACGCTTTTTGTGTTGGGCGCAGGTCTCCGACTGCGTCCTCTACTGGGAGGCGCGGAAAGGCCGGCTCTCCAACTCGGCGGGCGGGAACGCCCACGTTGTGGATGGGCTCAAGGTCCTGGTCAAGGAGGCCGTGGAGAGGGCAATCCGTATCCGCAACCCCGAGTATGACGCGGAGCGCGAGGCGTGGATTTGGGGGCGCCATGGCCTGCGCATCTCTGCGTGCGGCCTGGAGCACATGAAGCCCGCGGCCGCCGCCCAGTCCGAAGGCATCGTAGGGGACGACGACCTTTGGGCGTCACTTGGTGCTGAGTAGACCGTCAATAGAGGATGTTGGTGGTGGACGGTTGAAGGGACAGCTGAAGAGATGCGTAGATGGAATCTTGTACGGCTATGTGTGCGGTGTTGGAAGTTTGGATATGTGGGGTAAGGGGGTTGCATGTGTGTGATTGAGAGTTGAAGAGGACGGGTGTAGTTACGAGTTGTGGTACTCATTATGTGCGACCTTGTTATGAATGGGAGAAGTCGTTTGGGGTAATTGATGTTCGAGATAACACAGGCAAGTAGAGGATGATGTACAATGCGACATGCAGGACCGAACCAGGTGAGCGGGCGGACTAATAGTGCGCCGCATTTGGCGGCGCGAGTCGCGGAGGGTTCCATATGTCGCGACTGGGTTGGACGTGCCCGTCACAGCCTTGAGGGCGTGAGGCGTTCTGATTGGATATCATCATGGATAAGCATTGAACTGGAACCTATGCCCGATTTGACACGCACGAACAAAACTACGCGTGTCACTCTACTGTACGTTAGAACAATCGAATTTACGTGTAGGAGTGATGGCGTACTGGTTGGGAGATCGAGTTGATATTCGACGAGGGCGCGACAGGTGTACAATCAAGATTGTTTCGCGCACATTGAGCGAATGCTTATGGCGAGGAGATGGATGGATGGTTACTAGATGTGCGAGTGGACGATCCGAAGGCAAGTGAACGGGGTGTCAGAACATTATAGCTTATACATCTGTGTAGGCTGTAGTGGGGTAGCCCATAAGGGGTACAACCCAATTAGGGTTAGTACTTGTACCCAACTGTTTCATAGTTCAATCATTCTCGTTCTAATTCTCACATGGTATAGAGCAGGTTCCCCCGTGGGAACTGTTCCTAGGGCCCACCGACCTTTTTTTTCCTGCCCGGAGCGCGCTTGGCCCCTGCCCGAGTCGCGCCCCGTGTGACTCCCCTTCGTGGCCTCTAGCGGCCTCCCTCACGGCCCCTAGTGGCCCCGTCGCGCCGTCCTCACGGCCCCGTCGCGCCGCCCTTGCGGCCCTCTTCGCACCGCCCTCGCGGCCCCCTTTCCGCGGCCCCGTCACCGCCCTTTCAGCGGCCCCGTCGCCGCCCTTACACGGCCTCGCCGCCCGCCCTTTCCGCGGCCCCGTCGCCGCCCTTCCGCGGCCCCGTCGCTGCACTTTCAGCGACCCCATCAATGCCCTTTCAGCGGCCCCGTCGCCGCCCTTCCGCGGCCCCATCGCCGCCCTTCAGCGGCCCCGTCGCCACCCTTCCGCAGCCCCGTCGCCGCCCTTTTAGCGGCCCGTCGCCGCCATTTCAGCGGCCCCGTCGCCGCCCTTCCGCGGCCCCGTCGCCACTCACCCGCCCAGCACCAGAGCCGCCGAGCCGCCCAGCCACCGAGCAGCCGAGCCGCCGAGCAGCCGAGCCGACGAGCAGCCGAGCCGCCCTGCACCCGAGTCGCCCGACCGCCGATCCGCCCCACCGCCGAGCCACCCAGCAGCCGAGCCGCCGAGTCGCCGAGCCGCACCGCAGCCGAGGCGCTGCCGCCTGTCAGCCTGCCCGGGACCGCCCCACTTGCCTGGTAAGAGCAACGCCTCTACCATTGCAGTGCTCTGCCCCACTGTACTCACTGCCTGTCTACTGCTGTCATGGCCTCCCCTAGTGTTCTCACCTTTGACGCTGAGGGTCGGGCAGTTGACTTTGAGGTCTGGGTAGATGATCTGCAGCTTTTCCTACAGTGCGATAGGGCAGACGGTCTCTCCCTGTTTGACATAACTTCTGGTGCCTCTCCTGCCCCTGCTGCTGATGCTGACGCCACTGTTCGCTCACAGTGGGCCACGCGTGATGCTGCTGCTCGCCTTGCTGTGCGCCGCCACTTACCGACCACTGAGCGTGCACACTTTAGCCGATACAAGAGTGCTCAGACCTTGTACGACGCTGTAGTTGCACGCTACTCTTCCCCTGCCACTGTTGCACTGAGCCGCCTCATGCTACCGTACCTCTTCCCTGACCTTGCTACCTTTCCCACAGTCGCTGACCTCATTACGCACCTCCGCACTAGTGACACTCGCTACCGCGCTGCGCTTCCTGCTGAGTTCTGCGCCAAGAACCCCCCCCCCCCCCATGTACATCACCCTCTACTACATAGTCACCCGGCTCCCTGACTCTCTACGCATAGTCTGGGACCACTTCCTCTCAGTTTGCCCCACCACTCTCACCGTTGACCTCCTCGAGAAGGCCCTCCTAGCAGCAAAGAAGAGTATAGTCGCTGTAGGAGCCTCTCGTGGTGACCCTTGCACCCCCGTCTTTGAGGGGTGTTCTCCCTCCCCCCTCTTGCCCTCTGTTGCCTCTGCTGCTACGGCCGACCTCGTTGGTTTCGAGTCGGTCGGCGCTGCATCTGCCCCGAGCGGGAGACGGCGCACCGGCAAGGGCAAGGGGGGCAAGGGCGCTGGAGGGGCTGGCGGGGGCGGTGAAGGTGGTGGTGGAGGCAGTGGAGGGAGTGGGGGTGGTGGTGGGAGTGGTGCCGAGGGTGGCGGTGGCGGCGGCAGCAGTGGAGGCGGCGGAGGCGGCAGTGGTGGCGGAGGGAGCGGAGGCGGCGGAGGTGGCGGAGGAGGCGGAGGTGGAGGAGGCGGCAGAGGCGGCGGCGGCGGCGGCGGCGCTGGTGGAGCGGGTCGCGACTCTGCGCAGAGGAGAGGCTCAGGTGGTGGTCCGTGCCAGCAGCAGCGGAGTGGTGTGACCCTGTCCCCTCAGCAGCTTCGTGAGTGGTACACTGCGCGCCAGCGCGGTGGGGGTTTTGGTCCCTGCACTTACGTCCTCCGTACCGGTGACCGAGTTGGTGAGCAGTGCGGGGGCCCGCGCTCCACCCAGCGCTGCTTCGGTCGCCTGACGAATGCGTGGCGTCGCCAGTTCCCTGAGGCGTCAGAGATCTCTCGCTGGGGAGATCTATCTAGGGCGGGTGTTGCTGTCTTTGATCTTGACTATGATGCTATCTTGCTGCCATGTATTCTGTGACTACTAGTGTTGAGGGTGACTGTTACCTGTGTGTAACGCCTGACCCGGGCATTGAGGCCACTGCTCTAGGTGCTGGTGAGGCTGCTGCTCTAGGTGCTAGTGCGTCTGCTGCCCCAGGTGCAAGTGCGTCTGCTGCCCCAGGTGCTGGTGAGTCTGTTCTCTCAGGTACTACGTTGGCTCAGGCCTTCCACACCTTCACCCTTGACTCGGGTGCGTCCCGCTCCTTCTTTCCAGACCGCACCACTCTTATGCCGCTCAGTCGGCCGGTTGCAGTCTCCCTGGCAGACCCCTCTTGGGGTCCTGTCCTTGCTAGCCTCTCCACTGTCTTACTGTGCCCGGCAGCCACCTCTGGCACCCTGTCAGGTCTCTACCTCCCCTCGTTCTCTACGAACTTGGTGAGTGGAGCGGACCTACAGGATAGGGGGGTTGACCTGTTCACTCCTGCGAGTCAGCGAGTGACCCACTGCACGTGTGCTCGGACAGGCCGACACTTGGCAACGTTCACTCGTCGGCCAGGGTCGAGCCTATACACCCTTACTACTGAGTCTCCTCCGGCTACTGAGTCTGGCCAGGTAGCTGCGTCGAGTCAGGTGTTTGCTGCAGCGTCCAGGTTTGGTCCTAAGTCTGCTCCCTGCTCGTGTCGTCTCCTGTCCCACCAGACTCTCCTCTGGCACCACTGCCTTGGTCACCCCTCCCTGCCTCGTCTCCGAGGCATGGCCTCCCGTGTCCTTGTCTCTGGTCTCCCTCGGTCTCTCCCTCCCCTACCTCTGGGGCCTGGCCCTACCTGCGTCCCCTGCGTCGAGGGGCGACAGCGCGCCGCCCCTCACTCCTCCGAGTTTCCTCCGACAGAGGCTCCGCTACAGACCCTCCACATGGACGTGTGGGGCCCCGCCCGCGTCCGTGGACAGGGGCACGAGCGTTACTTCCTGCAGGTGGTTGACGACTACTCGCGTTACACCACAGTCTACCCCTTCCGCAGCAAGGGTGACGTCACTGAGGTGTTGATCGACTGGATCCACGCGGCTCGTCTCCAGCTCAGAGAGAGTTTCGGCTCAGACTTTCTTGTTCTGCGTCTGCACTCGGACAGAGGCGGGGAGTTTTCCTCTGCCCGTCTGGGAGCCTTCTGTCATGCACAGAGCATCCGCCAGACCTTCACGCTTCCGGCCTCTCCACAGCAAAATGGGATTGCTGAGCGCCGCATTGGCATGGTCATGGACGTCGCTCGTACGTCCATGATGCATGCGGCTGCCCCCCATTTTCTGTGGCCGTTTGCGGTTCAGTACGCCGCGCATCAGCTCAACCTTCAGCCCCGGGTCTCCTTGCCAGAGACCTCCCCCGCCTTGCGGTGGACTGGGAAGGTTGGCGATGCGTCTGCGTTCCGGTTCTGGGGATCTCGGACGTTTGTTCGCGACTTGTCTGCGGACAAGCTGTCCCCCCGTGAGGTTCCCTGCGTCTTCCTTGGCTTCCCCCCTGACGCGTTTGGGTGGCAGTTTTACCACCCCACCTCGCGCCGTGTTCTGTCCTCCCAGGACGTCACCTTTGACGAGTCAGTGCCTTAGTACCGTCTCTTCCCCTACCGCACTGCGCCCCTCCCCCCGCCGCCGCTCTTCCTTGCACCAGGTCCTCCCCCGGTAGACCCCCTCCCCCCTCAGGGTCCTGCCTTGTCAGGTGTGTCCCAGGTAGACGCAGTCGAGCCTGTCGAGGTAGCTGTTGACTCTGGTGCTGCTAGAGGTGCTGAGCCTGGGGGTGCTGAGACTGGGGGTGCTGAGCCTGGGGGTGCGGAGTCTGGGGGTGCTAAGACTCGGGGTACTGAGTCTGGGGGTGCTGAGCCTGGGGGTGCGGAGTCTGGGGGTGCTGAGAGTGGGGGTGCTGAGACTGGGGGTGCTGAGCCTGGGGGTGTTGGGTCTGGGGGTGCGGAGGCTGGGGGTGCGGAGCGTGGAAGTGCGGAGCCTGGGGGTGCCGAGCCTGGGGGCGCTGGGTCTGCTCGTGTGGCCGCCGGCGGTGCTTCGTCGAGGCGGGA